AGACTTACAAAGATAGGCTCTCCGACGAGAGACAGAGCGCAGTGCTTGACTTGGGTAGCCTCGACGAATCGATCTGCGCGCACGCCAGGAACACCCTTGAGCTGCTTAAGCATGCCATAGTGGTTCTCCAGTGCGCCCTCCAAGATGAACTCGGGATCGTCGACCTTCCATCTCCACTCGGTACCGACAGGGTTGGTATGATGTCTCCAGCTATCAGATAACAAGTAAAAATTAATACCTGATAACTTGTTTCCTGACAACGAGCAAAATAAGTCAGACATTAAAAAAAAATTACCAGAAAACGCATTTGTTAGCGCAGGCGAGCGAAGGAGTCGTCTCCATGCACAAATGTGACTGGATGCCATAGAACGAGTGCTTGTAGCAGAATCCACGTCCACGCAACGCTGCCTTGGTCCAGCGGCAAATCTTGACACCCGAGTGTGATCCGATAATCTTGTAGCCTTGCTTCGTCAGTGACTTGTACAGCAATGGACTGACCATCTCGCGGACCTCACGGGGCTTGATTGCCTTGCCGTCCTTGGTCTCGCCAACCGCCCGCTTGGCGCGTACTTTTTGAATCGCAAACGCCTCCTCATCCAGCGCCTTGTCCTCTTTGGCCTGCTTGATCTTGCGAGCCACATTGCCCATGTCTTCCAAATCAACCATCTCGCCCTCGGAAGCGTCGCCACCGTCAATCGTGGGCAATCCCAGCTTCTCTTCTTTGGTCTGCTTTGCATAGTCGCCGTTCTCGTCCACGTCGCCCTCATCGTCATCGTCGTGCTCCGAAGCTGAAGCACCGTCCTCTTCGTCCGACGAAAAGTAGGCTTCATGAACGTGTGATTGTGTGGGATCCAGAAGCGAAGCCAAAAGAGCATCGTTCCACTGTTTGAAGGCACCTCCTTGATCTACGAATAGTTTGTGTTCAGCGTTTTAGAAAGCGATATCTCTGCCAAAACATACCTTCAAAAAAAAAATCGATAAAGAGAGAATGTATCGAGTCTCGGCTTACCTGCGTTCTTGTCACCCTCTCCAAAAGGCCAGACGCGCTGAGCGCCCATCTGTCCGAGCCACTTGTCTGCCGACTTGGGTCCGTTACAGAATTCATCGCCGTAAGCAGAGTCGCCCAATCCAAAGACCGAGAACTTGAGTCTGTTCATCGACTCTTTCTGGACACGCCAATCGAAACGAGTGTCCTCGAGCCACTTGAGGAACCAATCGTTAGGGCCCTCAACGTTATAAGTCGATAGAATAAAGATGGACAAGCTCGATTCTGTCAAGAAATCCTCCGTGTCGTAATCCACAATGTCGATCAGCTTGGGGACTGGGAGGCCCCTGGCAGTCGCAGACTCGGCGAGCTGTTGAGCAAAGAGTTTAGCGGTTCCTGTGATGGTCGAGAAAAAGATTTTGATGGGATCCTGGAGCAGAGGGAGGAGCAGTGGGTCGATCTGTGCAAGTACTGGTGGGGTCGAGAGAGTTGCGGGAGAGGAGGAGGAGCAAGCACATGAGTGGGCAGCGCCATCGTTCTGAGATTTTCCGCCGCAGCAGCCGGCCGAGTTGTCGTCACCGTCCGCCTTGTGCTTGCCGCCACAGCATCCAGTGGTGGAGGCAGAGGCTGCAGCAATGGCATCGAGCTCGGCCTGCTTCTTCTTGGGCTTCTTGCGGATGACCTTGGGCAACTTGCGGTAGACTTCCTTCTTCAGTCCCTGGTGCTGCAGGGGTTGCTTCTGCTCAGGGGTGGCGTGCTCAAGCACACGGTTGACAGCCTCTGGAGAGAGACGAGGGATGGTGGGGTCGTGTGCCATGTCCTCAACGAGCTCGTCGACTTTGGTTTGAGGGTTCCGCTTAGCCTCATTGTTCTTTTTCTTGTTCTTGTCATCGTCGTCGTTGTCGGTGGTAGTAAAAGTGGACTTTTGTTTTGAGGACAGAATGAGGGTAAGAGTGGCAATGCCGACGGCCATGCAAACAAGGGGGATACGGTACTCCCGCCAGAGCTGGACGGCAGAAGAGGAGGAAGACATGATGCTTTGCTGTTTGATGCACTCCTTGCCAGTGTGGGGGGAAGGGGTGAGATGGGCAAAGGTGATGGTGGGAAAATGGCGGCCCTGAATGGTCGGCTTTTTTACTTTTTTTTTCCCCCCCTCTCTCACTCGTCTGTTGTTGTTTGATTCAAAAGCCACTCCCCTGCCTCTTCCCCTCCGCACGGACGGACGGACCAACTCATGCCCCGCATGCAAATCACAAAACAGGTTAGCCTGCCAGAGCGTCGTACATGGACATACGTTCACGGTACATACATACTTCTCGTGCGGTAACCGGGCAAAGAGTTCTGTTGCAGGACCCATCTGCATTTTCGCATAACGACACTCCTTTGCTTTTGCATTGTGATCATTGTTGAATAGTGCATTTTGATTCGTGGGTCGTTATGTTCTAAATTTTCATATGGATATGTGATGCTATTCTTGTTACTTGTAGCAGTGCCACAGCTGGCCGTTGCTCAGCTTTCCCAGCGCGCAGATGAACGAGTTGGGGTCTTCGGCAATCGGTGCCTTGCTTGACGCGCCCTCGCCACCTGCCTCTGCACCGCCATCGCCGCCTTCTGATGCGCCTTCCCCTGGAATCTGCTCATCGACCTTGGCTTCTAGGTTCTCGATCTGTTCCTGCCACCGGTCTTGTCCATACACCACGCTCGCGAGCTTGGCCATCTTGAGCACGTCGTTCAAGTTGCGCGAGCCCGAGTCTGGGTAGGGCCACTCGGAGACATCCCTGACACCAAAATCGGCCAGGTACCGGATCGCATCCTCCATGTCACCACCGCCAGTCTCGATATCGACACTGAGCCTCGAGTTGACACGGATGACGCCCTTCTCCACAGGACCTTTGTGGCGCCACAGATCCAAGCCGTGGGAATCGCCCTGCATCGCCAACAAGATCATGCCCTGGAGGTTGAAGGTCGAGTAAAAGTAGCTAATGGGACGGATGGTCTCGTGCGGTTGAGCGCCGTCTTGGCGGATCTGCGAGCCGATACGCTTCTGCATCGCATCCTCCAAGTGGGCCTTGGCCTCGTCGTTGCGGCCGAGAAATTCGAGGATCGAAACGTACTGTACACTATAGTACGTGCCGTGGTTGTTGCGGGCGTTCCGTTCCTGGTTGGCCTGAATGGATTGATCGGTCCACTCCAAGTACTGTGTGAACCACTTTTGAAGCTCTGGGATCAGGGTCGGCTCTGCCCGCAGGGCCTTGGATCCTTCGATGGCCTTGAGTCCGTCAAACATTCTGTAGATCAGGAATGAAATGGAAAGACGAGGAGAGGGGGGCGCAGGCTTAGTTCAATGGGCTCTTCAGGGACGGAAACCATAAGCCCAGCAGCAAACACGACGGCAACAACAACAACAACAAAATGAAAAAAAAAAAAAACTTACCCGTAGACCTTGAACATGTCAAGGAAGCCCTGAGCACGACCGAGCTCGTTACCAAAG